GGTGAGCCGATGTAGACGCAGTCATGATGATGCAATTATTACAAGCCAGCTCCATCAGCAACCCTGTTATCATGGTTTGAAAAGGTAGATGTCTTCAATGTCCTCGATCGACAGTCTTTCCAGTTCCTCCACCCGTCCGTCGTGTATCCGGCAGGGAGCGTCCCTCCAGGACACTCGGGCTCTCCCGGGCCCAGACGTCTCGTGGAGAGGAGGGTGTCAATAACATTCTCATCACAGTCGCCGACATGTGATCGTGTTGAGCTCATTTCTGACACTTTCGTGGATGTTTGAACGTAACACAGTGATTAATAAACAACAACACGTTTATTAATCACATTTTTACAATTCTGTGAAATTCATTTAACCTGAACTAAAAAAAGAGAATTAAAAAAAGGCCCAACTTACCTCGGTCGGAGTCTGCGTCGGCATCGAGCCTGTGGCTGTGACATCACTTCCTGTTTGTCCCACCACGGTGGTGACGGTGGTGAAGATGTGAGGAGCTAAACAGAGTTTGAGTTGTTAATTGTTCGGTTTTACAGGAAGTTAGTGTGTAAGACAAAGATGGATTATTATGAACTGACAGTCATGCAAAGCTGCTGTGGTAGATGGAGCTGAAACAGCTCCGCCTCATGTTTAACTACATTCTGAGTTTACAGCGGACGTGAAACACCACAGCGGGGAGGCTCCAACCAGCTGTCACACATTTAACTCTTCAGCAGATCAACTGTGTGTGTGAAGCTGCAGTCCAATCAGTTCGCACAGATTTCCACAGGAAGTGATCGGCACTATTTTAAGGTAATACTGAGGTTTGATTGAACCTCCAGTTATTAAAAATGTCCTTGTTCGAGTCGTTTTCCTAAACCGTCCACAGGAAGACAGACTAAAGACAGACGGACAGCTCGAGTTTCAGAGAGGATGCAGGTTTGGGGAAATCAATTCCTCCTTCTGTGTTGTTGGTGAGTGGATTACCTCAGAGCAGGACCGTGTGTGGGTGATGTGCTCGTGGTAACGGGTCTGTTTGGGCGTTGCTGGGATTCATTTTCATCTGTAAGGCTGATGCCGCATCGAGTTTTAGACGTAGGCTGTTCCTGTGATACCAACAGACACAAGACTGAGAGCCTTCACAGGAACGTGGACGGGTTTGTGATACCTGCAAGACCACAGGGCCACAACTCTGCCGTTATGGGATGCATCCTGCAGGTCTGAGAGGGGAGCAAGAGGTGGTTGCCATGGTGACGGGAGTGTTGCTTGCAGAAGTGTTTCAGAAAGTTGCAGAAGAAGAAACGTGAGCTGGATGTCTGCCACATAAGGAGAACTTCTGACCAATCACCTGAGAGTCCTGTTTACCACACATGATACTGTCCTGTGTGGGGGCGGGGCTCTTTGTACAGCAGCCGTTGTTTAACTTGAACCTTCAGCTGCTAATAAGCTAAGAAAATGCACTTTGAGCATGTTCGTCTCTGAGTGAACACGCAGCTCTGGACAGGAACACTTGACCCTGATACGACGGGATGTTGTCTTTACATTTACAGCTTCGGTGCATTTTCCTCACCTGTGACGACGCTCACATCGATGTGATGCTTCTCATCGTTGAACCAGCCGGGTATCTCCACCCTGCAGCCGTATCGTCCAGCGTCTCCCTCTGTCAGGCTCTTTATGGTCAGAGAGACGTCTCCGTCCTCCAGTCGGCCCAGCAGCTCATACCTGCTGGAAGCTCTGGTTAACACTCTGAGTCCATCTGTGGAGATCAGCTGATTGGAGCAGCCCCTGGCTGGTATCTCTCCTCGCTGCCAGCACGCTGCCAGAGCGCCGTGATATTTCCTGTCATATTTACAGGACAGAGTGATGTCTTGACCTGTGTGACCTTTGACCTCCACGCTGTCACATTCACAGACTGGAAACACAGAAACAGGAAGTTAAAGACAGATTTTTTATTCAAAGAATAAAAAAGTGATTTTGTTCAAATAGAGAGAGAGCCGAGCAAACAGAGTGACAGCAGGAGTGACGGAGGCGTACGTGCCTGACAGGAGGACGAGCAGCATCACAGGAAGCCTGGTTATTTCCCCGCAGGCTGCTGAAGCCCTCGGAGTCTTCATCACTCTGTAGAACATCCAGACATCATCAGCTCGCCCGCTCTCCTCTGAAACACTCTGCAGGAGTAAAGAGCCGGACAAACCTTCAGTCTCAGAGCTGCTCCGTGTCGTTCTTCTTCTGCTGTCACATGACTCTGTGGTTTGTCATGTCCGCCCTTCACTTCCTGCTAACAGCAGCTCGTTCTGCAGACCAGCCACAGGCTCAGAGATGAGTCAGCTTTTATTGACCTGCAGGCAGAAGAACAGACGTTCAATATTTCAGATTCATTCAGATTATTGATCCTTAAATACTCGAGCTGGTCTCTGGCTCGTTGTCAGCGAGATCGGTCAGACGCTCGTGTCCTCAGTATCCTGCTCAGAGGCAGAGGACGCGTTCAAGTACCTGTGAAAACAACACTGCAGCACTGAAGCAACTTCTTTACTGTGCCGGTGTTCTGGGCATACAGCCTACCCGTTGTTTCTGAGCATGTGCACGGCACAAAACCCCAACTTAACAGCATCTGGCTGTAATTTAACACAACTCCTTTGTCATATTTGTAAAACAGTTAAATATCAGCACTTTATTGAAGTGGATACTTGATTTTTTAAGCCATTGTGAAATCACTACCTGCTTTTTGCACAAAACTGTTGAATTTGCAGCTTTGGCTAAGTGTATTTTCAAGTTAATGGACACATTTGATGTTCTCGAGAAAGTTATTGAGTTTGCAGTGCATTCATGCTGAGGGAAATATTCTAATTCGTTAATCTGTGTATGGTATGTTAGTCTATCTAGGTAATGTGGTTATTTAATAGGTTAAATTATGTGCATGTTTGCTGCACATATTGAAGCTCAAAAGAAGAAATGGGAAGAAGGGAAATGTTGTGGAACTGTAGATGGTATTTGTGGAGATACAGAAATTCTTTTATTGCTGCCATATAATCTGCATCATTATAACTGCATTAATAACATCTTAACTTACCATCATAATTTCTCACAGTACTTGATATGCATTAAAGTTGTTGATTGAAGATGTTCATTTGAGGATCCTTCCTATTATGTTAACTTTTATTACAAGTACGGTCAGAAGTATTTCATACACATTGCATATCTGTGCTTATTTTGAGTTGATGTTCGGGTCATTAAGGGTCTTAAGCTTCACTGGCGTGACTGTCCAGGTGATCATGCTGAGGGAAACTAGAACATAGAAGGATAACTGCAATGCATGCTTACAGTACATATAATACATATATGGAATGTGTCCGGCCTGAGGCCTTAACTCATTTGGTGTCTCCTATATTTTACTCTACTTGGCAACAGATGACCAGAGTCAATAATTAGCCCCAGAGACCCTGAGGGCTTGAAGTTTATTACCTTGTATGGAAGGTGTTATAGAAAAGAGAAGTTCTATGTCTGCTTATAGCTATTAAAGATGTACAGATTACATACTGTGACTAATGTCTGGAACCTATTTTAATCTGTCATTGACGCCATGGGGGGGCGTGTACCCCACTGCTTTATAAGTATCCACAACATGTATTTTGGTCAGAAGACATATGTTGATGTTTTCTCCGGGCTGTTAATAAACTCATCGTTTGATTGCACTTTTCTGGGGCCTCGTGGTTTGTCTGCACTGCTCTGCATTGGATCGATTTCGCGACATATTATACTGCGAGCAGGTCCCTGTAACTGCAGCAGAAAAAGTATTAAAGGAAAGGGTGCAAAAGGGCAGCATTAACCCCAGTTTGGTACATCTGGGTAATTATAGACAAAAAGCAGAACCAGGTGATGAACTGGTTGTACGTGAAGGCTTTATATAACCACTCACACCATACAGGAGACAAGCGTAGTGAACAGAACCAAAGTGTAGCACCGTAAAAGGAGAGATGAGCGTGTTAAAGGAAGGAGATGTTTGGATCAAAACGGTGTATGAAGGGTACAGGAACACAGAGCACTGAATAACAGGAAAAGCAGGAGGAACTTATGAAAGTGACAGATGGAGGGACGGCCCCTCGACTCGGCAGTTGGCTTTGGCGCTGAGCTTATTACCCTTTTTACACGGGATAAAAAAGTTGTTGAAGTCTGTCTTGAGTTGTGTTCTCAGCAGATCTGAAACAGAGTATCGGGAGCTGGTCGCGACCGTTCCTTTCTGTTGATTAATGTTCTGAATTTGGAAACACACTTTGGTTGTAGCCATAAAGTGGACGCCCTTTCTCGACTTTGAGGTTTTTCAAGGATTACAGCCTTTGAAAAATGGCAGGTAATAACAAAGCTAATTCTTTCAAGGGAGCTACCAGAAGCAAGCTAGCATTAGCCTCGTTTCGAAGCCGCCCGAAAACACACCTGCACCTGATGCCGCCTCTCCGGCAGCAGCGGAGGAAGGTACGGGGAGCGAGAGCAAAAAGGACATCTTTGAGGACATTAAGAAAATGAATGCTACTCTTCAGGTCGTAGCAAAAGACGTCACCACTGTTAAAGAAGCGACTGAAGAACTAAAAGATTCAGTGGAAGGTATAAACGTATATCAGACATGGAAGATGCCAGCGTGCTCACCGAGGCAAAAGTGGACAAATTTCAGAAAAGGTTGGAGGCGTCGTGGTCACGAGTGGAGGACCTTGAAAACCGTAGTAGGAGAAACAACGTACGGATTACTGGACTTAAAGAAGGTGTGGAGGCACCGGGAACGTGATAAATATGTGATGGAGATTCTGGCCAAAGCACTTGAGCTTTCTGGAAGAGAATTTGAAATTTAAAATATAACAATGCCAGAATCTAACAAGCCTCCCAGGGTGATACATGTCCACTTTCTACGTTCATCGGCCACGGAGAAGCGTGGAGTCGACTGGCAGGGCGGCAAGCTGTCCTTCTTTGAAGATGTTAACTAAGGGAGGATTCAGGGTCACCTGGTCCAGCCCTAACTATATGCTTTAGCAAAAAGGAAAGTTTGAAGCCTAATCTTGAAAGTAGAGATAGTGTCTGTCTCCTGAATCCAAACTGGAAGCTGGTTCCACAGAAGAGGGGCCTGAAAACTGAAGGCTCTGCCTCCCATTCTACTTTTAAATACTCTAGGAACAACAAGTAGGCCTGCAGAGCGAGAGCGAAGTGCTCTAATAGGGTGATATGGTACTACAAGGTCATTAAGATAAGATGGGGCCTGATTATTTAAGACCTTGTATGTGAGGAGCAGGATTTTGAATTCTGGATTTAACAGGAAGCCAAAACAGGAGAAATCTGCTCTCTTTCTAGTCCCTGTCAGGACTCTTGCTGCAGCATTTTGGATCAGCTGAAGGCTTTTCAGGGAGTTTTTAGGACTTCCTGATAATAATGAATTACAGTCGTCCAGCATGGCGACATTAGAAACAGTCTCACTGACTACAAAAGTTTTTCTCTCGCTCCTTTGGACTTAAACTCGCCATGGTAACCTTTTAAATGCCTTTTTTTCTGGTTCTGATTCCCGGGACAGTCGTGAGTGTGAACACACACCTGCTTCAGTCTGACTGAAATTCATCACACCTGAACAGGTGTGTGTGTAACACTGACACACACACTCAGTGGGACTCACCTGCTCAGGTGGAAACAGCTGACGGTCACTCGCCTGATGTTACCGAGGACTGCGCTTTACTTTTGCTACGTCACTTCAGGAAACACGACACCATCAAAATAAAAGCACAGACACATCACGTCTGCAACAATAATAAAGATGAGTCGTGTTATTAGTGCTGTAATGAACGTGAGCAACATCCATGTGATTCACTTTGAAGGAGCTGAGCGAGTTTGGGTCAGTGATGTTTCAGGAAGCAGAGGCCGCTCACAGACCTCACAGCAGTCAGTGGATGTTTCTGTGCACTGCAGAGTAATCGAGTAATCCACGTCTGCTCACAGAGAGGCTCAGAGTCCGGCTGGGGCTCAAACCTGAGCACAGGACCACTTCTATTAGTTTCACCTTCACAAACACAACACGTGAACTGCAGTCGACACAGTTTACTGCACTAAACGCACTAATGCTGCTGCACAATCACACACAACCAGTGTGTGAATGTGTGTGTGAATGGGTGGATGACTGAATGTGTAAAGTGCTTTGGGGTCCCTAGGGTAGTAAAGCACTACACAAATACAGGCCGTTTACCATTTACAACCATTAATCTGGAACATAACCTTCAGAGTCAACAGGAAGAAGTTTTATTGCAGCGGGTTGAGCTGTGAGTGTAACGGCTGCTGATACAAACTGAGTACATCAGCAGCTTCTGGATGAAATGCAAACAGTTATGATGAAGGTGTACACGATGGAGCTCTTTACTTTGAACGCTCCGTCGCTATGAATTATGGGACGGCGTTTCCTCCTCCCCTTCACAAAGGATGCTCCAGTGTCTCCTCTGCTGAAGGACGCACGGAAGCTTTGTGATCCCATTGGTCAGAAACTGTGCAGGTCAACA